ATATAGGGCCTGCGCGCTTCCCGGGTAGCCTGGCTCACGCCCTTTATAAAGGGCCTGTGCGTTTCCAGAGTTTAAGTTTGTCCACTTGTAGTGTTTGGTGTGATAGTTTATGTGCCGCCAACAAAGCCGTACGCATATAGCCACTTCGTTTTTTTAAAAAGCCCATGTGGGCTGCTCGCTAATAAAAAAAATATCCAAGAAAAAATGATATAAATATATATATATATATATATATAAATATATATATATATATATATCTATGAGCAATTGCCAAAACGTGAGACTCTCTTGAGACTCAGTGGTGCAAAAAAAATTTTCATACCAATTTGACTCTCTTTTCTGTCAGCCACAGATTGACATTTAGTGCTCATATTCCTAGAGTATCAGAGCAAGGAGACGTACGGTTTTGGAGATATGGGTCTATTGGTTTGGCAACTACTGTATTTCTTGTATGTAACAGTGATGACAAAAAAAGATAAGCAGCAGGGCAAATTATGGACTTTAAATTCCATTTGTTTAGTAAACAAAGACTTCGTACACTATGAACTCCATTCATAATGGTAATATGAATGACAAGCTTTGTAACAATGACGCAAAGCACAGAACATGTCATCATTGTTATGTACAAGAAAGGATACACATTGGACATTATCATTAACAACACATCACAATAGTGAAAGGCTGTACAAATACAGTTATCAAAGCCTCAGTACCAGAAAAACACATGTGTAAAACAATTTTTAAACTAAAATGAGGCAAAAGCACAAAATCAATTGAGCTGACCTCACGGCGTCACTTTTCGCCCGATTCTGTTACTTTTAGTTCGCGTGACTCAGCAGCCCGCCGGAGCTCCCCTGCTCGGGGTCACGGGGTTAATGAGCCCTGAGGCGACTTTGCCGGTGTCGGTCGGGAAGTTCGCATTTTTGACTATGTTTAAAACGATATAACGTCTTCCCCATCCCACACAGCAAACCATTACGCGAATGTACTAAAAGCTCAATGTCTTGAGATTTATTCTGCGTTAAAATGGTTAGTTTCTGTGCCTTAGTTTTTGTTCTAGACAAGTGTTTGTAGAGTACCCAATTTGTCCTATTTTAGTTACAAAGTTATGAATAAATGATTGTTATTTTTAAAAAGGCACGACAGATGTCTCCAAATTCTGTGTTAAACTGACTACGAATATCATGTCTTTTACCATGAGAAATCTTAAATCTGCGGTAGTAGTAATAGTCAAGTTATAAGAGAAGAAAGATGCACATCTGCATATTTTAACTAAAGACGATCAGCGTTAGCTCTTATTTTACTATTAAACAAGAGAAAGTTACTCTGCGTTTGTTCATGAATCATGCTGTGTCTGTGGCAGCCTGCATACAACTAAAAAGATATAATATAAGCGATTTAAAAAACCACAAAACCGTGTAAATACATGGGTAGAGATAAACTTCTAGTATGGAATAAAAATAACGACAGCTAAAACATTCATTCTTAGTTTTTGTGTAGGAAATATGCGCGGACACAATTATGCATATAAAGAAATCAGTCACATTGTCAGTTATTGCAAATGGTCATAGAAACGTAAAAAAAGCTGGAAAAGCCTGGTGCTGATTCAGTGTCCCTGGAAAGCTAGAAATTATTCTTATAACCCAATTACGAGAAGTCATCCCTATTATTCAGTCAACTTTCAAAACCTAGACTTAGCGTTTTAAGAAAAGTAAGCAATTTCTGGAGTGTAACAGATACTGTTCGTGTATTAAATCTACGTTGAAGATATATTCTAGCACTAAAATCGATTTGTACTTTTCATTGAGAAACTTCATGATAACTTTTATAAACTTTCGAGAAAATATGCGAATATTCATGATTATATTAGACACATAAAGTTGTATTTGGAGAAATTACTTCGTAGCGAATTGTGTGCCCGATGGATAAAATTGCAAAATTACAGCCTTCTATTATAAGCGCAGATACCATCTTTTCTGAGTATCTGCACTAATGTTATGTCGTTCATTTTCCAAAAGTTCGACAGATTTTGACGATGCGTTTTTTTATATTTATTTTTTTTCATTCACGCTAGTCCCCAAAAAATTACAATTTAGCATTGCCGACTCCAGCGCGCCTAACTAAATAACCAGACAAGTTACAACGTCCGTTCTTTTTTGAGTCTCAAGAGCAGAAATGCGTGCTTTGGGTGCACTAAATGAGAATTACCATAAATACAAGGATGCACCTTAAATTGTACGTTGAAAAGTACAAAAAATTAAGTCGGCCCAGACAGAGCGCCGACAGGGAGCTGACCCCCGTGACCCCGACGTGATAAGGCGCCCGGCGGGGAACCCCCCGCGGCAACTAAAATTCCACTGCCGGTGCGCCGTGACCTGTACATAACAGTGATGACAAACATGACTTGTACATAACATTACAATGATGACACAATGTACAGGAAAAGACAAAAGTCTTGTCTCCAGAGAGAAAAGCGCACTTTAAGAATAAAAAAACCCAAGAGAGGTTTCTTTTGCTTTGAAAGAGATACCAGGTCATATCAAAGACAGCAGACAATCACAATTACGTTGCTAATTATGACAAAGAGTACTCGTACATAACAGTGATGACAAAACATACTGGGAAAAGGTAAAATCATGCCTACTACAAAGAACAAATTTGCACTATGAGATCACACAGATCAATAAAGGCGTATTTTGTTTCTAAATGAATCTTGCATGTGTGAAATATATGTTGAAAACTTATTGATATTAGCAATTATGAAAAATATTACTTGTACATAACAATGATGACACAATGACACAATGTATTGGAAAAAGGCATATCATGCAAACAAAGAACAAATGTGTACTTTTGAGTTAGACAGATAAACAAGGACATGTTTGTCTATTTGTTTGAGTAAAAAGAGCACACATGACTTAAATAATGTTTGCTCTTAGGACAATGTAATTTCTTGTACGTCGGTCAGTCTTGTACGGCTGCATGACGACACCCCAAACGTCATCACTAAGCACAAAAGCTAAATCTATAACCACAGAAATGATCCATCTCTCGAAGTTTGTTCACACATCACACTCTTGTTCCAGGAATCCAATGTAAACACCACAATTTCACTAAAATATTCAATAGGGTAGCCTAAAAACACGCAAAACAGCCCAGTACGTCACATTCAACGCAAGATTCTTGTGCGTAACCGGAGGGTGACGGCAATGACTACTTTCATTTTTCTCTTTACCCCGTTGCTCCCGCTGTTCTGGGGAAGCGGGTAAGGGGAAGTCACCCAAGAAAACAATTATATCCGGGCACTGTTGATGATCCGTTCAAAACAAAAGTAGGCTAAAATTCGGACTTCCGGTAAGTCGCAAAGTGACGCCATTAACGGCGAATGTTAAACAGCCGACCGAAATCGTAGATCTAGGAACCCGATGTTCCTTTCGCGCATCGCGGCTTTTGAACTATTGAATAAATGACGAAAAGCAAAAAGATTTAACCAGCTGTGGTGATTCTACTGAAAAATAATGGTGTTTTCTGAAACACCTAGTCCGTGACGACACCCCTGGCGCACAAGTGATCCGAATTATTCGTTTATTTGCAAACAAATAAACCGATTTCTTGAGCAAGTGAACCTTTCTCGATCACAAATAGCATAGAATCAAAGCACAGGTTTAAAAAAAACACCCAAAAATACTAAATTTTTGACATTCTTGGAAGTTTGCATTGGTGTGCTCAAAATGACACTCCAGGAATCACTAAAAAACGGACATTTTTGGCACAAAATTTACAAACGCAAGATTATAAAGCTGACATAGGGTCTGAAACTGACTGCTAATGCAGGTTCTACATTCTATATTTGACATGTGTAAACGTTTTGGTGGAATACTAATGCATCACATTTTATGCACACTATTGTGAGATGTGTGTGTTTTTCCCCACGTTTTGGCAATGGCTCCTATATATATAGATCTAGGTTACAGAGACACTTTAACAATAGACATAGAACTAGAGTCTAGGCCTTTAACTCTCACTCTCACTGGTAACAGAGGCAGGGTCAGGGGTAGGCCCAGAGAGCAACCAACTGGGAGAGCCTTAGAAACAGATAGTGACAGGAAAAGATCAGGATAATGTAATCATATAGATCTAGCTTTCCTAAGAGCTGAGCAAAGGAATCAATGGAAAAACAAGACCACCAACAAAGTACAAAGTCTGTCACAGATCTGGCACTGGATAATTATGATACCATCAAGCAAGGCAAAGTCTGGCAACAGCCTTACAATAAGGCAAAAGGCCAAGATCAAAGTTAAGTTTAAACTTCATCAACTGGTGGTGGGTGGAGAATCATTAGTACCAAATTATTACCGGTACCCCCAGTACCAGCAGAGTGGCACTAGAGACTAGAGATATCTAGATCTAGATCTAGATCTAGATCTAGACTAAATCTTGATCTAGTCTAGATTCTAGATCTAGATTTCTAGATCTAGATTATCTAGATCTAATCTAGATCTAGATCTAGATAGCCTGAATAATAGGCCTATGGGCCTAGGCCTAGAGGGCCTAGGCCTAGGGCTAGGCCTATAGACTAGATAACTAGACTCACTAGACTAGTCTAGTATTAGTATAGATCTAGATCTAGAATCTAGTAAAGAGGGCTGATAATTATACACTTAAAACGCCTTTGTAACACATGAGTGGTTATATGTCATGGCTCGATAGTGCACACTCACTAGATTCTAGATATCTAGATAGCGAGTCGAGCGAGTCAAAGTCAATGCCAGGAAGTCGGGACAGCTGAAAGGTGCTACTGCTAGAAATTAGAAAAGCTTTTGCGAGGGCAGGGTCGGCCAAGCCAAAAGTTACTTTGCAGTGTGAACTTATGGGTTGCATACATAACGCATTTGTCGATACAGAATACCCTGTGTTGTCCATTAACAAGTGCAAAACTTTTCTGCAAACACAAGTTGTCATAGCCTAACTTAAGATGCGATTACAGAACTCATGCTTACCTTACGTACTCCCTTGTAAACGTACACGTACAGTTCCCTGCCAACGTTAAAGCAGAGGCGGTCTGGGGACGCTGTTCCGTCATTAACCTCAACAAATGAAAGTTTAACAGGTGTATTTGTTTGGCCATTGAATGCAACACGACTGGGCTTTGAGTATTCCGAATGATGCATTAACTTATAGGATCCTTCTCGGGTAACAAAATGTGTTTTGATCTCATCCTTTCCCCCACCCTCACTCTGTGCCGCCATGTTGAAAATTTGTTTCAACAACAAAAGTCCCGGATATCATGATATGTGCGCTTGCGCTATCCGCACTTCCTGTTGTCAAACCAAAACAAATACGCTATACAACTCGGCAAATGAAGGAAGGGATGTCGACATCTCGCCGCCCCACCCATCCCTGGCCACTTGCCTAAGACATCAGATGGGAATCAGCTAGTGAGTGAACACCGGCTGGTCGCGAAAATGAGGCCTCGGCTCAAGGTGCCCATCGTAGCCTACGTGTAGGTGTAGCAGATCAAGAGAATCTGTGATCGTACCGTGGTCCGAAGACTCGCCCAATAATTAATATTGTTGTTATTATTAGCACCCAAAGTATCGCTTCTATGTATGCTCCCACTTCATCGCCGAACTTGAGTTTTTTTTGCCTCTGCAAACTTATAAAATATCCCTATGGAATATTTCATGAAACACAAGAAACCCGATATATATATATATATATATATATATATATATATATATATATATATATATATATATATATATATATGATGCTTAATTGTTGTGTGCGTACGCGCGCGCTTAGTGTGTGGGAGTGCGTGTGCAAATAATATGGCCTATATGGATATTATTATATAAGATCCTCTCTGATGATGTTATACGTCAGTCTTACTTATCCATTGCCACCAGTGCTTACGTTTCATAGGACAACTGTTTGAACATCTCCTTTGCTTCCACCATTAGCCCCACATATCGGTCACGTGTAATAAGCACGGTCAACCAATTATGCCACCCGTCACTGACATATGTAACCATTAAGATTCTCTACTAACTATACACGATCTTTGGTGCAATAATGATATAAGGAACTCTGATCTTTTTTTCTTAGCTGGCCGTACGATCCGGAAGGCAGGCATGCATTGGTCAAACTAACTTCGCACCCCTGACCTTTATATTATGAGCAGCATACCCGTGAAAGTTTCCGTGCTGGAGCGCCACTCGAGCTCTTTCACTGGCAATCGTGATATTTCAGGTATAATTAAAGAAAAACATATTTGGGGGGGGGGGGGCGTTCATTCACGTCGACTATTTTTCTCTCCCCCACCCCCTTCCTTCACAAAACACACACTCACACACACACACACACACACACACACACACACACACACACACACACACACACACACACACACACACACACGCACACACACACATATACACACACACGCACGCACGCACACACACACACACACATGCTCTCTCTCTCTCTCTCTCTCTCTCTCTCGATCTCTCTCTCTCTCTCTCTCTCTCTCTCTCTCTCTCTCTCCTTATTTTGTACCCCTACTTTCGCCATCCCCACCCCCTCCCCCACTCACACACACGCATACCCCACACTAGTAAACATTGTAATATAATGTGAAAGAGCTAAAATATGCGGTAGCGTCAAGAAACAATACTATGAATAATGTAAGATGGAAGTTACTGAGATTGATCGGCACAGAAAAAGAAACACACTACTTGAGTTTAAGCTAGAAAACAAACTGAAAGTGAGAAGCAATAAATCGCTGGTCCTGGCCTCCAGTACAGTACTTTACTAGTACTTTCTACACCCCCATACAAAATATCGACGTGCACTGAACCCGTTAAATATATGTAATAAGAACTGTCCTGTATGATGACAAAAAGTCAATTGCTACAGTACCAGTGACGCTGTCCCAAGCAGATCAAGAGTACAATCAGATTCTTTCGCCGGCCAGACTCCTAAGGGCCAGGTAAGTTATTAGTGGGGAGAAAACGATGAGTAAATGCCAAAGGTGGTTAAAAAGTCAATAAACAAAAAAGAGTAGTGCCAAGCTAACAATAAATGTTCTGATAGTAGTTAGAGAAAGGCTGAATGATAAATACGTGTTTTGCTGATAAAATAATACATGTGTCTGTGCTGCTCAAGACAGTCTCATTCTTAATTTTGTAAGCTACAAAGAGGCCAATATGGCAGTTAAGGGATATACTAATCTTTCTGTGGACTGACGATGGATTTGTCCATGGGACTGACGTCATCGCTAGGCCTAAGCCAAGCCCGCCGTGTGTTTGGCCTCGTACGTAGTACGAAGTTCCGCGACGTGACGGTTTGACGGGAGACGATTTAAAGTTACGAGCCGGCGCGATAACAAACGTGAAGGAATGAGGTTATGTCGCGACAAAACAGCAGTGAATCCCACTTGTCTATTTGAGCGCCTTCAAATCGGCAAGGTGTTTTTGAATGTTGATACATGTTTGTTTGGATTTACTTAAAACTGAATGAAAATCGTCATCAGCAATAAACCTCTAGTCAACAGTTCAGTTGACAAAAATCTGACCGGCACCGCCGGTCTTGCCCAGTTAACAAACCGCCCCTGCTTGAGTCTAAGCTAGAAAACAAACTGAAAGTGAGAAGCAATAAATCGCAGGTCCTGGCCTCCAGTATAGTACTTTACTCGTACTTTCTACACCCCATACAAAATATCGACGTGCACTGAACCCTCAGGGGGGCGGTGGCGACAGTTTGGGGGGCGCTGTGGCGAAATTGGGCGATTGGTGGGCGGTGGTGGGCGTTAAGGGGGCGGTGGGAAATTTTCATGAAATGCAACATAAAAAATGGTGAAGGGAAAGAAGCCACATAAAAAACAAAAACAAAAGTTGATAACTTAGCATTAGTTTACAATACTACTTATCACTAAGAACTTTCTTTCCCAGCACTCAAAGCCCATATAAAGATGATTCATCCCGGTAAATTTGACAAAGATCTGGCATGCTTAAAAAATCCAAAGATCAATTTTCAGAAATAAAAATCTATTAAATCGATGTTTGCAGCCGACGTCGATCAAGCTGATGAAGACATACGAGCAACTAATAATTTATCTCTGCTAATTGCAAAGGCAGGCAAACCACGTACTCTCGGTGAGGACCTCATATTATCTGCGATTAGAGAGGTGGTCAGCACAGTCCTGCACCGTGCCCCGGAGCATATGTTGAAAGTTCTTGCCACTAAGAGACAATACCGTTCAAAGACGTAAGGATGGGATGTCAGCAAATGTTAAAGGAATCATTATGCAAAATGCTTAAAGGACGTGAGTTCAGCCTAAAACTGGATATCGGTTCATAGAGGGTGAGGTAAAAAATGCAAGAATTGTTAATTGCGAAAATGTTGGAAACAGATACCAAAGTCGAGTCCATTTTCTAATTGGTCCAAGAATTTTTCGAGGAGAAACAGATTCCTCTGACCAATATAGTTGCCTGTGCAACAAATGGAGCACCGTCGATGACTGGTCGGTACCGTGGATTTATGAGCTTCTTGAAGAAATCAGTCCCTGGAGTACTAACTGTTCGCTGTGTCATTCACAGACAGAATTTGGTGGCAAAACACCTGAATGAAAGTTTGCACAACACACTGGACATTGTCATCAAGTGTGTGAACAAGATCAACGTCCACGCTTTGAACTCGAGATTATTTCAACAGCTGTGCACTGAAAATGACGAGAACCTTCAATTCTTTCTTTTGCACACTGAAGTCCGGTGGCTCTCAAAAGGAAACTATTTAACACGAATATTGTTTTGCCTGTTTGACTCTGTGCTGGAGCTTTTTTCAAGAAACAGACAGTGATCTCTACAATAAACTGAAAGACCACAAGAACAACATGTCGTTCCTCACTGATCTTTTCGCAAAGTTCAACCAGTTCAACTTGCAGCTGCACGGGGATGACACCAACCTGATCAAGGCAAAATCCATGCTTTCGTCATTCTTGTCGAAATTGGAAATGTTTCACCGAAACATTGGCTGAAGAGAATTTGCTAAGTTTTCTAGCTTGACAGAGACACTGAAAGAAGGGCGGGTTTCTGACGAGGAACTAGAAATATATACCAACCACCTCAGAGATTTGCATGCTGTATGATCGAGAAGATAAGGTTTACTGATATCTTTTAACTGGAAATTCCAGACTGGGTACTGGACCCACTCAATACTGGAACAGACGGTGACTTGACAATGGCAATTGAAGAAGAGCTGGCAGTGAAAATTGACTTTGAAATCAAACCATTGCTCAAAAAGTCGTAGAATCTACCAGTCATCCTGGTTGGAAACTATCGTGCAAGACAAATATCCCTCCCTTTGGGAAAATATCAATCAAGTTGTCGTTCATCGCTTTTCCCACCTCCTGTCTAGTAGAAAGGGGATTCTGTGCTGCGACAAAGTTGCTGACAAAGCAGAGGAACAAACAGGATCACAGAGCGTGGCGATTAGCGTCTGCTACTGACCAATCTGAAACCTGTAGCGGATGTTGATAAGTTGGTTTCGTCTCACCAGGTCCGTACTTCCCATTAGGGCAGTGTCAATGACTTATTTGTATATATGCTTACTCCGTAGTTTACCCTTACTTGATACCTGAATACATCTTTTCTTTTTTTGCTTTTCTTTCTTCTTTTTTCTAAAGCAAAATACTCACTTGTTTAATAGAGTTTGTTATGTGCATGTGCTGCCACTGCTGATGAAACTGATGATGATGATGATGATGATGATGATGATGATGATGATGATGATGATGATGATGATGATGATGATGATGATGATGATGATGACGGCGATGATTACGATGATGGTGATAATTACAGACTAAGACCCATGCATACTTTTTCTTTCGTGTGGTTTCTCACATTTGAAAGGCTTAATAATATTTTTATGTTCTACAATGGAGATATTTGATATACAAATCTCAGACCACTTTATTGCAGCACGTTGATGGGAGAAAAAGTTTCATAAAAATAATGTTAATCTGTTTTCAAACTAATGATCACTTTTTTTTTTTTTTTTTTTTTTTAGTGTTTTGCTTTTGTAAATGTCATAATACCTGTTTTACTTTTATTGACGTTAACAACACTGGTCGATAAATACCGATGGCACAAATGCATAAAATGTACAGTGTTCTCAGTGCCCTTGCATAACATTGAAGAAAAAATGTGTTTTATTATCTCTCGTACACACTTAATTTAAGACTCTGTAATGATGGTGATTTGTGACCCGTTACTAAT